CATTTTCTACAGTTGCAAATTTCATTGAAGAAAACAATTAACATATATCCAAAGTTCTGTGTAAGAAAAATGTATTCATAAAAAAAATTAAGTATGATTGAATCTTTAACAGTGGCAATTGATGAGGATTATTATTATTATTATTATTATTATTATTGCAACTTATCTAAATTATATTTCGGAAAGATTAATTTATTTCAACTTTTCGGGTCAACGTACCACTCTGATTTCTCATTCAACGAATAAATGGCGGACGAAGCATTAATGAAAGCTGGCTTACATATCGATGCTTACAATAAAATACGTCTTCTACAGCCTGGTAATTCTCAAATCGTTACATTGCTAGCTGCACTTTTTCATTGGCAATAACTTTAGTAGATGAATACTAATCTATTCGATCTATTTCGACGAGAAAAGAAATTGCTAACTACGAAGAGAAATCTGAAGAGTTTGAAGAATAGTAGGAATTCTGAACATTGATTTGTGAGCTAGCTTTGATATATCATCAGATATTATTGATAAATGACCTGTTTCTGTGGGCATTACAGGTTATTTTTAGATGTTGCGGATGCTTCCAATGAAATTGTTGAAGAAGCAAGAGAAATTGTGAATAAATTGAACACTTTCAGCAATGCTGCAGAAGCAATTATCAAAATATTTGATGGAGTAAGATTATAAGTGAAGTTAAATATTGAAAAGTTACAGTAAGCAATAAAATGTTACGAAATGAAATATGTTTTATTTAATTTTAGTTAGCGACAACCGTGAAGGGTGAGAAAATCCGTGCGATGTCATCCAGAAATGCCTTGAAAACTGCTGACAAACAACATGTCGCCGATGAGCAACAGCTGCAGGTCCATTGATATTGGTTTTATGGTTCCGAACTTGTCTTTTATTTTAAACTGAGAATTGTGAGAATTCGAACAGTTTTCGCACTTATCTTCTCATACATAAAGAACATATCTGTCCGCCTTCATTTCTCAACTTCAAACTTCGAATTGCTTCCATAATTCTAACAGATTAATAACATAATCTGACTTCAACTTTATCTTCGTTGAGAATTGAACTATGCGCTTTCTAGTGTTCTACTTAATGTATCAGAAAGATAAGTTACTTCTTCGTTTACCCTCTTCGAATTTGTTCCTTTTTCGATATTGGTCATTTCAAACACCAAATGCTAAAGAAGTATTAACAAGAAACTTTTTAAGATTCTGATCCGAGAACGTGAAGCGGAGCTGGAAAGGCTGCGTGTCGAATTAGAAAGTACTCAGCGACAAGAATATGCTCTAAAGGAATATTTGCAGAAATTTTTATCACCATAAATCTGTCATCTGTGCAAGGGGACGTTTGATTTCCAATTATATAATTAAGGTTTAAGTTGGCTGAAACCCTTTTCTTTTTTTAAAATCTTCCGCACAAACCTACCCAACTGTTTATTTCCTTACGTCGATTAACAACTTAAATCTTACATAATTAGAAACTATTCCTATTCTTTGGTAGAACATAAAAACATAGTATTTTGTACATCATTTCCATCGATAATTTATGATTAATTCTTTGGTACAACATAAAAACAGATAGTATTTTGTGCATCATTTCCATAATTTATTTAAAATACATCTATGGTTTCTTTGATATTGATGGATGATTTTTCATTTAGAAAATGAGTCGACCAGACTCTTTATTTATTCCACAGTTCCTAAATTTTTACTCGTCGATCAAAATGTGAATGAGAATTATATTTAAAACTGCAACCGTCTTGCAGTTT